AGTCTTCTCTTCTACTTAAGAAGCTGTGGCTGTATTAGTAAACTAAATGCCTGGGATTATTTCCTGGCAGTGGGAACCAGGTAGTCAAGAATGGGACACCTCATGATACTAAATTGTCTTACTCTTCAAGCCAAGATAATCTTGCAAGCTGCTCATTGTGTTAGCTCCCAGAATATACCTGGGAAAGTGTTAGCTGGCAAAAGCCAAAATCACTGTGTTAACACTGCAGAGGAAGAGACAATTGAGTTCCAAGCCCAAGAACAGTATGTGAGACTGTATCACATACCATTATAGTTGTTTATAAATTAAATGCAATGCATAAAAGCTGAAATTAAAATACAAAAATAACATTTTAAATGGCTATGGCTCTAAGAAAATTGAAATATCTTGAAGAACATAATTTTAATGTTCTGTTCCTTTGATGTTACATTCCAAGTGTAAATCCACTTTGCCCTCCTTATTTTGATTGCTGTAAGGCACTCTGGGAATATTCACAGAATGGTACTGGTACAGAACTGCCTGTGTGGAATTTGAAAACATGGAAATTATGGCCTCACAGACCGCACCAGGACTCAGTTAAATAACTGAGTTTACTCTCAACATGGGAGAGCACAGAACAGCCATCAGTGCAAGTGGAAAGTTAATTCTATGAACTTCACAGCCTAAAACTTACACTGCTTTAATCTGAAACAGCCATTGTACTCAACCCAGTGCCCCATGCTTTACATAAGGCCAACACAGTTTTATATTCTGCTGACATGCCATGCATCATAATTGACCTATACAATTAATTAAAAGCAATGAGGAAAGTAAGTGGAATTTAACCTTAATCAGCACCCAAAGACATCAGTATCTCTGATGTCACCCTGAAGCATCAGGACAGTCAGAACAAGATTCATTTCAGGTAAGCACCAGAAAGTTTTAATTTTTAATTTTTCTGAGTTACCAAAATCTGAAAATATTGTGAGGAAAGATATGATAAAAACATCTGCAGCACTTTCTGATCTTGATCTGTTCAGGTCAAATATGCCATAAGAAGATAGTTTCTTTTGTAAGCTATTTTATGGTTATTATACACCTATGAAGTTCAAAGAAACTGAGTACATTTTCTTAGATGAACATGCTAGAAAATGAAACAGAGAAAGGGGAAAGAAAAAAATAAAAGAAAAAAGATTAGTGTGATTTTGCTGATGTAAATTAAGACCAAAAGTAGAAAACTCTACAAATGTGGCAGAAGGATTACAGTTTCTCCCTCATGTAAACCATCACTTACTCAAAGAGGAGAAAAATAAAATGGAATTTAGCAGCTTGCATCAACAGAAGGACCCAAATATTAGACCAAGACAAAATTATCAGGCTTCAAGATAAATACAAGGGGTTGAACACATGCTCACACACTGACTGAAATTCAACAGACTACTGCATACAAGCAGGGCTGCTGTCTGTGGGTGGTTTTAGGGGCAAATGCAAAAAGAAGGAACAATTATTTTTGCCAAACATATTGTTATATTTTATTTTTGTCTGAATGTTCTGTTTTCTGGATTAGAAATAGGAAAATCCTTGGTCTGTTGGAAGAGAATGTGCTCAGTCTTGTGTAGCTTGAGAGTCTAGAAAAGTATTTATGCATGAAGTCAGCTACAGGTCTGCACATTACACACAATCTGTGGAGGTTAACCAGAGACTGAAAGGTCAGGAGACTGAAAGGTTTTTCCAGGTCAAAGTTGGATATTCTTCTGTGTCCTTTCCATAGACCAGAAGTTACATCTGTGAAGTCTGTTTGCTTATCCAGTCAACACTGTGACATTCAAAGTGTAGTGGATGTAGTATCATGATGAAAAGTGGTGCCATATAAACCAAATTGTTTTTAAGGTATCTGTGTTATTTCCTTTGACAAAGCATTTGTGGGAAGGAGTTGATTAAGACAAATATCTACAAAATGTACAGCATTAATGAAATGACCAGTTAATTAGGACTTACTTTAAACAAGAGCTTGTTTGTAGAAATTTCTGTATGCAAAAAGGAAAGCAGAAAAATATGTTGCTACAGAAGCAGTAAGAATTTTTGCCTCTTTAGTTGAAAGTACTACCTGGAAAAATACTGATACAGTATGCATTAGTATTCAGTTTTCTTTAATCTATTTTCTGTTTCATTTATGTTTTCTCGTAGTGTGTTTCCACTTCAGTGTTTCTTCTTTCAGTCTCATCAGAATTTTGGACTTTTGCGGGTATGAAAAACTAGAAAATTACCACTGTTATTAGCATTAATCAAGCCTACATCATGAGAACTCTTTTTCAAACAAAAGTAATTTTACAGTAGAAAATAAATAAATGAAGTGCTACATCATGGATTGCCCTGACTGAAAAAGAGGACTTCCACATCTGAGATGGACAAAGCATTTGGAAGTGACATGACAATATGACAAGATATAGAAACATACAGGACAGCGTGATGAGAGGGGTTCTGAAGAAGTTGTCAAGACAACCTGATGCCAAAGGACACAGAGAAGGCTGAGGCACTTGGTGCTTTCTTTGCTTAGTCTCTGCTGGCAAGGGCTGCTCTCCGGCCTCCCAATTCTGCATGTCTGGTTGCAAAGATCTGGGGAGGACAAGCTGCTCATGGCAGCTGAAAATTGAGTGAGGGACTGCTTCTCCTGGATGTACATGGGCCCATGGTCCTGCTCACAAGGCATTCAGGGGTGCTGAGAGGCCTAGCTGGGGCTGCTGCAAAGCTACCAAAGTCTAATCAGCAGCTACTAGGGAATCCTTCACTGCTGAAAGGGAGGAAGAAGTAGAAGATGCTCCATGCTGGTAGGAATGGTTGGTGCATTGGAGGTTGGCCCTGCCAGTCAGGAGGAGCTGGACAAGCTGCAGAAATGCATTGGCAGGAATATCATGGGTTCAGCTAGATCCTAACTTCCTCATTTGCAATACTTTGATGAACTCTGGCCCACAGCGGAGTAAAAAACTCCTTTGCCTTAGAGGACCCAGAGACTTCTGGGCCCTCATACATGGGAAGCAAACTGAAGTCCAGCTGAGGAAGATGGTTTTATTAACTTGGAATACAGAAAGGTAAGCAAGGAATTAATTGCAGTCTTCCACTACTTACAAGCAGTTTCTAGAGAAGATGCAGCCTTTTCTTCTCAGAGACACACAGAGAAAGATGCCCTTGATTGCATGCTACAATAGGTCTTTCACAATGACACCTGTGAAAGAGTCTGATTAAAATTTGTGGAAGCTCCATCCTTGGAGACTTTCAAAAGTCTACTGGACAAGCCCCGGAGAAATCTGCTCTGATATTGAAGTCTTCCCTGTTTAAAGCAGGACAGCTGTTTAACCTAAAATATTCTGTTCACCTGCACTTCAGGCTGCATTGCCTTACAAGAGCCAAAATTTTAGTTTCCAATATTTTTTTTCTAAGAGCCATCCTTGAAAGTACATCTCCGTAAGGGAAACACACTGCCTGAACACACACACCCTTCATGGAAGTTATAAAATGTATTGTAGGAGGAAGAGCACTAGCTATGAATTTTGGTCCCCAGGTAATCAGCATCAGACTTCTGTAACTGCCTAAAAGAACAACATAATGGACCATGCATCATCACAAGGAAGTATAAATTATCTCTATAGTTGCTTTGAAAGAAAGATTGCAAACTCAGTTCAGTAAAAGCTAACTCTGACCTTCTAATGACAGGGATGTCAATCTTTAATTTCAATATTGAAATCAAAGGATTTGACTCCTGCTAATTTGAACCTTTCAGAACACAAACTTCCTGGAAAAACTTATGAAGGTAAAATTTCCTCCTTGCTTCAGGAGAAAAACAAATGTGAAAAAACACAATTTCCTGCAAGACAGAGTGCTATGTTTTTCTCAGCTGCATAACTGAATACTGTTGAGCACCATTCTTCTCAAGAGCTCAAAATATTTTTGAACTACAATGCAAACAAATTTATCACCATTTCCCCATATCCAAAAAATATGGGAACACTCATGTTCATCTTTGCCTATTATGGCTTACTGCGTTCTCTCAATGGTTTTAATTAAGATGTTGTGAGCGTTCAAATTCACAAAAAAAAAGAAACAAGAAAATTGAGCCTTGTGAATTTTTCCCCTCTGATCTAATATGAGGTTTTCATTTGCAGAAGGCAAGTTATGAAGGAGATATTATGATGCCTTTCTTCACAGAGACCTTTTTAAAAAACTGAGATTTTTTTTTTTTATTTCCAAAATATATCTTTTTAACCAGAAGAAAATACTTAGTCTACAAAGGAGTGCATAGAGTTGTACTGGTTTTGGCTAAATTAAATTTAGTTAATCTTTATCATTGTAGCTCTGAGGGTGCTATATTTGGGATATATGACCAAAGCAATGTTAATAACACAGAAACATTTATTATTGCTGAACAGTGCTAGCACAGGGTTAAGGCATTTTCTGCTCGTCACCCACCCCACCAGTGAGGAGTCTGAGAGTGTACAAGGAGCTGGGAGGGGACACAGCCAGGACAGCTGACCCAAGGGAAATTCCCCAATGTATGGAACTGAGCTCAGGATGTAAAGCTGGGGGAAAAAGAAGGAGCAGGAGGACATTTGGAGTGATGGTGTTTGTCTTCCCAGGTCACATTATGTATGATGGGGCCTGCTCTCCTGGGGATGGCTGAACACTGCCTGCCCTTGGGAAGCACTGAATTCATTCCTTGTTATGCTTTGCTTGTGTGCATGTGGCCTTTGCTTTCCCTATTAAAGTGTCTTTATCCCAACCCATGGTTTTTTCACTTTTACCCTTTTGATTCTCTCCCCCATCCAAACCAGGGGATGTGACTGAGTGGTTACATGGGGCTGAGCTGTTGGCTGGGGTTAAACCACAACAGCACAAAACAGAAAAGGCCAAGGATGAACAGCCAAGGTCACCCAGTTAAGGGAGCAAGGACCCCCATTCTCATCTCACAGGAAAAAGCAGCATTTTCTCAGGAATGACTTCCAAAATATCTTCTTAATCAAAGTTACCTTTTTCTCCTGGAGGTCCAACTCTGCCTGGACGACCTGGAGCACCTTTCTCCCCCTTTTCTCCAGCCTCCCCTGTTGATACAAAAGCAAATAAAAAGAAGAATCATATTAAACGAGGACTATTTTCTGTTAGCAGCCATGACAGGAATGCCATTCTCTCCAGTGAAAAAAATAGAAGCAGATGTGATCTGATTTAACAGCTTTGCTTGACTGACAGAAAACAGATTTTTCTTCAATTGATGCGGACACTGGAAAACCCTGTCAATACATTACTTAAGTCTCATACAACAGGTCTAGTTTTGTGGATGTTACTTATACCATTGACCTTCAAAAAGCCAACAGCACAATTCACTTAAGCAGAAGCTTCAGAATCAGTCCCCAACTTAGCACAAAAACTTCTGTGTTCATCAAATTCTTTCCAAGGCTCTGCTAAGGACGTCCTTAAGTTTCAAGTGAAAATGGCTTAACTATGACCTCAAATTAAAAGAAAAAAATGCCATTTTTGAGGCCTATAAGAAAGCACTGCATCATTAGAGGGCCATTTTTAAGCATGAAAGCATTAACTCCCTACTTCATATCCCCAGTTATATACTGTGCTTTTTAATCTCTGAAGTATGAACCACTATGTAGTGTATTTACATGCACATAGCTTGTGGTGCATCATTATATTCAGGATATTTAAACATCACTTTCTGTAAAAAGTGTTTGTCTCCATGGTGCCTTTCATTAAAAATTTGGGGATGCTTAGCTTGTTTTGCCCACTAAAGCTACACTACCACTGTAGTCTGCCATTGGCATAAAATTGAAATCTCTGAAAAACAGAAGGTTAAAGAATTATTTATACAGCCATCTTGACAAAACAAGATTTGTATGAGGAAGGAGAAGAAAGTTCTATGGCTTCCACAGAAAATAAAGTGCTGGTATGTAAAACCCAGAGTCAGCACAGCACATATGATATCCCAACACAGTATTTCTATGGAAGAGAGTGAGCATTAGCTGCTCTCCATGAAGATGATGGGAGCACCACAGCAGGAAAGTCAGTGGTTATCATGCAGCCCACAAGCCCAGCTCTCTGGCATAAGTGGCAGCTGTGGTTCAGAGAGATGTCACAGAGATGACATGTAAAAACATGTCACACCATGGCACATTTCAAATATGGAGCCTCCAGCTCTCTTTCCAAATCTCTCTCTTTATTGTAGACCTAGGTGGCTGTGAGCTGAACTCAGCCCTCCATCTGTTATATTTTCATTCTTCAGGCTGCTCCAGACCATCTTCCCTGCCTTCAGACATGCAAAAATAGGCCATTCTCTGACCTTAATGAGGACAAACTTCACATAACCCCCAGTGAATAATATTGTTAGTATGAAACAGGCTATAATTTGGCACATTTGGGAATGTCACATTTTTATTATCAAGTAACCAATAGGCTTTGTATGATTGCCTTTCACCCCTCAGGGCTGGTTATGAGTTCTTTGCTTCCCAAAGATAAATCCTGACAATGACTTTCCCTTGCTCTCTGGAGGCTGAGAGCAGGCTATTACAGCCTATTGCTTTACACGTTCTTCAGAGTGAAAGCTGTGCATTAGGGATCAATAAAATAGATCACTCTAGCTTCAGGCCATTACACTTGCCTGCATTTATTCTTATAATACGATGACACTGCATTCCTTAGTGTGGGTGTTTCAAAAACTTTCTCCAGGAGGAGATTGCTCCATTACAGGCCCAGCTACAGACCAGTTGACATTTTTTTCTTATCAGCTGTTTTAAGGAGCAGGACCTTGGCTAAGAGGGACTGCTCAGTGGTATGGCACAGCTTTGCCTTGTGTAAGTCCCTATTCTTGCTGGTTGTATACCCTGAGCTTTGTGCAAATTGAAGAAGTAAAGCCTGTGCAGGTGTCATGGGCAACAAAACCGTTTTCTGTCAAGACAATCAATTTAATTTTTCACCAAAAACCAATAATGTTTAACTTCTTGATTCGTGAAATAAAGAAAGATACCCCTGTGCCTCCTTTCTGGTCTCCAGTCCCTCAATCTACAACCAAGTCCCTCCAGAGCAGGAGGCTGGGATCTGTGCATTATGGTCCCTACCTGACTGGTCTGTTGTGGCCTCTTCCACCAGCCACAGTCCCTGAACACTTGCACTTCTTGCATCCCTCCATGGATATTTTTTCCAGCCCCACTGCAGGAAACTCTCCTTGTCAGCACCCTCAGCATTGTCTATGCAGCTGAGACAGGGTGAGATGTAGTCAGTAGTGCTCCACAGTGCTGAGATGCCCCGTACTTCTAATAGAAATTTAGCCCTGCCAATCTATGTGAGTTATTAAGCATTCCTGTTTGGTGATAACTTCTTTCCATTACTCATAGTCCCCATGTGAGTAGATGCATCAAGTGTGAGTGTAAAGAAATTGGGTTTTTTAACATAACGTTATTTTTTTATGTATTGACTGTCATTAAGACTATTAAGACAACTATTGATTTGGACTCTAGAAGGGAGACAAAACAAGTTGGCAAGCTGAGAATTTAAGCTTTGAAGGACAGTTCTGTGTTATTTTTTTTCTCCACAATAGTAGTAACTTCAATTCCATGTGTCTATCAAAAGAAACTGGACTTTAGGAAGAATATGAGTGAGCTGTGCAGTTAGGCTTCATCATCCATTGTTTTTTCACACACAGCACACTTTTCTTATTCTTAATATTGCTGGCTTACTAAAACATGGTTCAGTCTGCTGTCTGCATTCTCACACTCATGGTTTTCCCCTTACACTTTTCATCTCCCTCCTTTATACTCTTGAGTTAAAAAAAATAACTAACCCACCAAAACCTCCCTCCCCTAAAAAAAACCACACCAAAATGACTACAAAAAACAAAGAAAGCAAAAAATCCACCAAAAAATCAAACCAAAACAAAAATAACTCAAACATACAAAAACATCAAAACCAAAACAAACAAACAAATAAACCCAAAAAAAATCAACCAAACAGAAAAACCACCAAACCACAAACCACCAAAACCTGTCCCTAAGACCTAAACTACCGACTTTAATCTCATTTGTGCTTTTACTATTCTTGGTGTCTTTAGTAGATTTCTTCCTCATTTATTTCCACCTCCATTCTCATCTCATGCCCCTTCTGATTTTCTCTTTTACTCTATGGGATCTTAATTGATTTTGTCTCGTTTTACATTTATTTAGTTTCCAGTCTCTCCACTGAGCCTGATTCTTGACATCTTCTTCCTTTGTTTTTCCCCATTATCTCTTTCTGTTCTTCTAAAATTCCTCCTTTATGCTCCCCTGCTTCTGTGTACTTTTCCCTGATGACTTTGTCCTTCATCATCCCATTTGGGCTCCACTTTTTGCACCACACCTTAAATGTCTCTCCTCTGCCATTCACATATCCCATGGTCTCCCTAATTTCTTGCATTTTTTCCTGCACCTGTTTTTCCCATATTCTGACAGAGCCATGCCCAGCAGCAGTGTGGCACTCTATTTCTCCCCCACTGGAGATGCTGCTGGCAGCCCAGGGAAGGAGGAGGAGATGGTGCAGATCTAAAAGCTGTGTGGGATCTCAGCACAGCAGTCCTGATGTGCTGAGACACCGAGACAACCCTTGGGGGGCTCGGAGGTCCTGAAACGTGGCCAGAAGTGTCTGGTGTTTGGACTTTGACCCAGCACAGGAAACATCATGTGTATGAGGATGGGAGAATCACGGGGGATAAGTGGTGAAGAGATTGATTAGTTATGGTGTGAAACACAGGGTTTAGAATTTCGGTACAGGGGGGTGTTAGGGAAACAAAATGGAGGAATTGGGGTGTGTCCTGTCCTTCTTCTTCTTCTTCTTCTTCTTGTCTTCCATCTTCTGTGGTGGTGGTGGCACTTTGAGATTGGTTCTTGCTAAAAATACACTTGTCAATAAGGGTGAAAGGTATTGGGGGGAAAAGGTAAATATCTTATACGAAGTTTTGGGTATAAAGATAACTGACGGCCCCGAGGGCACGCAGTGCTCATGGCTGACGTGCTGTGCGGACCTCTGTCGGGCCGAGAGAAGATATTGTAGATAAAAAATTAATAAACACTGAAGACCGAAAAAACCTGAAGACTCCTTTCGTCCTTTGGAGAGCGGGCTGCCCCCAAGGCTATCCCGAGCCTTTCTAGGCCATCAAAACAGCCGAGAACGGGACAAAGCTGCACTGAACAAATCCTGATGCATGGCAGCTGAATTTGGGCACGTGGCCACACGTGTGCTCAGTTTAAAGGAAGCCTTGGCCAGTGAGATGTGGTGTTGTGCCGGGGGGGGGACAGCAGTATCTCATCACCACCTCTCTGAGCCAGTCCCCCTGACGGCATAGTTGGAACATTGAAAGCTTTTTAGGGATTTCACATTAACTAGGTCTGTATCAGGTCATTTTGTGCTTCGCTGAATTTGTACATCAATCTCTCTTTGCAAGGCTTATATCTTATGAAACTGAGTGAAATCATTAACACACTGTGGCTTTCAGGCCTCTCCCTGGTTTCCAGGCTCAGAATTGTCATCTGCCAAAGGGTCCTGCCAGTTTACACACTTTAAAAACTTCTGCTGCACAACATCATCATCATCATTCTTGCATTACAATGCATAGGCAATCATAGATGCTAATTTTGACTGATTACAAAAATTAAAAAATCAATGGAAAGAAGTCACAAAACTTGTCCTGTCAAGTTCTTTGATACAAAAAATATTTTCAGACCTTAGGGCTGTGAAATCTCAGCCTTTGACTGATCTTTCATGCAAATTTGGACAACATATATTTAATTTGGTTGTGTTGTCCTCTGTAAGTCACTTTTACAGAATAAATATATTAAACAAATTAAACAACTTTACTGAAGCCTTAGTAAAACCTCAGAAGGCCTGGATATAGTGTTGTTCTCTCTAACAAGAACATCTGCAGAAGGTCTACATATTATTAAGATCAAAAGTCACTTATTTAAGTGAATAGTAAAGAACAGCTTTTGGCTGAGTTCAGGCATCCAAAGCTGCATCTATGATAATAATAGACAAAACAATAATACATTAAGAAATAAACATATTCTTAAAGCCAATTAGCTAAGCTCAGTCGGCATCCCTGTAGGCCAAGCCTCTTGCCCCAAGCAGAGGGCAGCCACACACAAATTGGGCAATACCCGGAGAGGGCAGTTTACCCCCCAGCCAAACCCCTGGCCAAGCTGGGCTCACAGTTCAACTGTGTGAACAATTTTGCTGCAGAACAGAACTGAGCCTCACCCTTCCCAATCAGTTAACCACAACAGGCAATGCCTGCAGTCCATTCTGTGTTCCTCAGCAACTCAAGAAAACCCAGATTGGTACAGATAAGATTCATGGCAGCAGTTCTGGTTGGGTGGGCTTTGTGACACTACAAGGCACAATTACAAGAAAAACTGAAAGGTTTGTTGTGTGGTTCTTACACAATGCTTTTTTTTATTGTTGATGATAAACTGGTGGTTTTCATGGGGATTTTTGTCCTTAGTTAAAAAGTATTTCCCCATGTTCAAAAGCATTATATTTCAACAGAAATGTCAGAGCCTTCACAAGGGGAATTATTGTTATTGACTAAACAGAGCTGGGATTTCAACAACCATAATGGATGTTGTTGCTTTAAAATGCTAATTCTTCCCAGTGGTTGATTTGTTATGCAAGATATATTTTTTCCTATGAAAAGATCAATAATTTATTACACCACCTTGTTTGGGCGAGAGTTTGGGGGCATATTCTGTAAAAATGTTGCCTTCTCAAAAAAAAACTATAGAAATGCCAAATACCTAACTAATGTTTGCTTTATTCTAAGAGGTATTTGAGCTTTTAAAAAATCAAAAGGAGACAAAAATAAGACAAGAAAACACAAAATAATTCCTATTACATTGCAAAATGGAAATGAAAACCTCTCCAGGTATAAAGAAGGGCCTGATGTTACAGTTTTTGGGTATGTGTACCACTGCTCAGTATAAACACAGAGCAACCAGGCAATGAATAAGAGTAACAAGCACTAGTGATCACAAGCAAATCTGGGAAACTGGCATGCATTCTCTGAACCATTTAATTTCACCTTATGGACCTTAAAACTCCATTTTTAAGGAGGCTACAAATCGGGCCAAATAAGAGGTACCTTCTTTGTCTCTGTTAAATCTGTCAGTTACGCAACTGAGCCTGTTAGAACAAAAATATTAATATTTGAATAATGAGTAGGCTTTCACATTACCTTTGAGGCCTGGAACAAGAATCTGAACAGAGCAGGACTCCTCTGCAATGTGTTGAGGATATCCAGATCTTAGCAGTGACAGGAAGGCAAGGCTAATTAGAGTCACCAAGAAAACCAGATCTCTCTTCATAATGAGCACTTACAGGTCACTGACTCCTAAACAAAGGAATGAGTAAACAGTTATAAGAATTCCAAAGGCTTTCAACAGTTTCTACAACTACATCCCACTACAAACACAATACATATTTGTGTGCCATAACCCCCACAGCATGAGAAGCACATGTGCTGCTCCTCCAAGCAGGTTATATGTTCCTCAGACACACATGAAAGAGGCAGCAGCACATTTAGCAGGTTCTTTGCTGTTAGACTGGATGGAATAAAGTCCAGGAGAAATTTAATTAAACAAGAAGGAGATTAAACAATGCCAATAATAGGCAATTCTGTGTGCATGATTTCGGAAGGTGATTGAAGGATTTCTGTGCGTGATTGGAAGCAGCTATCTGGAAAGGTGGAAGGAGATAATGTAGCATGTAGGCTTAAAATCACAGAATTGCTTAGGATGGAAAAGACCTCTAAGATCATCAGCCAACCATTAACCCAGGACTGCCAAATCTGTCACTAAGCCATGTTCCCAAGTGCCACATCTACATGTCTCTGAAATATGTCCAGGGACTGTGACTCAACCACTTCCCTGGGCAGCCTATCCCAGTGCTTGTCAACCCTCTCCATGAAGTAATTTTTTCCTATATACAATCTAAACTCCCTCTTGCACAACTTGAGGCCATTTCCTCTTGTCCATATTTCTTGTAACCCAGGAAAAAAGGACCATCTCCATCCTGGCTACAACCTCCTCTCAAGTAGTTGTAAAGAGCAATAAGGTCTCCCCTGCATCTCCTTTTCTCCAGGCTAAACCCCGCTCCTCACAGGACTTATGCTCCAGATGCTTCACCAGCTCTGTTGCCCATCACTGGACATGCTCCAGCACCTCCAAGTCCTTCTTGCAGTGAGGGACCCTGATCTGAACACAGGATTTGAGGTGTAAACTCACCAGTGCCAAGTGCAGGGGGAAATCACTGCCCTGGTCCTGCTGGCCACACCATTGCTGATAAAGGGCAGGACATCATTGGCCTTCTTGGCTACCTGGCCTTGCCCTGAAAGTTGTCAGTACTAAGTTCCCCCTTAGAGTGGATACTGCTCTAAAGAGGCAATTCAGTAACAGATGAACCAACTCAAAGGCCTAAAAATTCACTTCCCATCTACCTGAGCACTGGAATTGTGCCCAGGGAAATTGTCTGATACAATAGCCCTCATATAAGGCATTGAGGGTGGAAGGCAGGTAATATTTCATTGTATCATTCAATAAAGTTGAATCAGAGTCTTCAATAACTCCTGAAGAGAATCACCTTTGAAACACATCCTAGTCAAAGCTGACAAGTGAAATGGCTTGCCTGAAATTAGGCTGTGAAGAGATGTCCCAGAAAACAACCAAACAGAAATGGAGTTTGTGTGAAAAGACTGTAAAAAGCAGTATTTAGGAGGCCTGTAAAAATACTTTGACAAAAATGTTATTTATGTATTTCTGATATATTTTTCATGTCCATCCTTAATCAGAGCTCAGGAACACACAAATAAGCTGAAAGTCATAACAGTTTTTTTATCATCTTTTATAGCCACCATAAGAGCATGTGCATTTTACATCTGGAGCAAGAAGATTGGGCTATATTAATTTCCACTCTCTGAATCCCTTCAAAAATAAGCCAAGTAGGATTAGGCACAGGTGTGGGACCACTATGTATGCCTCAACATGTTGGGGGTCTAGGAGAGCAGAACTGTTATTTTTGGGATGGCCTGAAGGTATTAACTGGCATAAAGCATGTCATAGCAGCAAGGCCAAGTAGATGATTTTGGAGTTGAGAGAATAAATTGTCCCCCTGAATTACTGTCCAGTTTGTGCTTCCATTATCCCCTAGGAGACCATAGCAAGGGAATCTGATGGGAGCAGACTTTGTCTCCTTCTTCATGTGTGTAGGGCATTGCTTGAGTTACAGGCCAGGTTTCTGTGCCTCACAACTCCTTTACTACACCACCAGTTCTACATCCAATTGAGGTACAGCGGGTTGCCACAATACACCCCTAAGTTCTTGCTGATCATCCAGATCTGGTGCAAAGACTTTTATATGCTGTTGGTCCCTTTTGACCGAAATCTTTTCCCCAGGTTTCTTTCCAAAGGAGAGACCTGCAGCTGGAGGACCACACCTTAAAAGATGGTTATCTATGCTTTGAGCTGGGAAGAGCTTTTGGGTCAAGAGATCTCAATACAGTCATAGTCTGATGGGCTACAGCAGGCCAGGAAACCCTAGGGAAAAGGTAATCCTGGATAATGTTGGGTAATTTTCCCATGGGGCAAGGGAGGAACAGGGACTATATGAGGTTTTCCACAACCTGCCATGCAGTCCTATAATGGGTCAGGCATAAGCTGCTTCATAGACAAGCTTTGCCAACCAGAAGGAATACTTAGGAGAGTGTGGGACTGCTGCTCAAATATTTAGGCCATGGTAAGTTTTGTCACAATTGCAGCAATTATCACTTGAGGTTTCTCAGGAGTACAGGGCAAAATTGACTTTTGCCACTCAAGGATGAGGAACAGGAGCTGGAGGAGAAGGTACACCACAAAGCCATGCATGGATCTGTTAGAATGTGTGCACAGGAGGGACACAAAGATGATCAGAGGGCTCTGATCACCTCTCCTACAAAAACAGACTGAGAGAGTCGGGGCTGTTCAGCCTGGATGATGCCTTAAGTTTTAGCTTTCATTTTTTCAGATTCTGTGCTGCCTTAATCTGCAACTCTGAACTTCATATCAAGTGTTAGCCAGTTCACTTCACAAGGTAGTTAGATAAAACAATCCTTTTCCATGAGATCACCTAGTCACCAGGCTGCAGGACATCCCAGGCAGGATATCCCACCTTTTTTATGTAGTGGGAGCACTTCAGGATTCAGAAGATCAGACAAAGAAGCTTTCAAGCCAAGTGGTTCAGATACCCAGGTGAAAGCCTGGAAATGAGGCCGTTTCAGCATGAGCACCTGGCAGACTGGTGATAAGGATTCTTGATGGACAAATTGGAGAGTGGAATGAAATGGCCTGAGAGGGAAGAAGAAATTGAAATTACAGTGGTGCTCCTGTGTCTGCATTAGTGAATAAAAGGCAGCATCATCTCCTCTGTCTGCATTTTATGAGGATTTAGATGTATCCAGACTCCAACTGAAAGATCAAAGGCTCCAGGTATGTTAAATATTAATCTGCCTTTGCAAACTCCTGCACAGCTCAGAGATGAGACAGACCTGGAGCAGCAGAGAACTGTCAAGGCTGCTTCTTGGCTCTGCTCAGCAGCCACACATGAAGGATTTTCTGAGGAAAACAAAATCTCCCACAAAGCTTCAGCACATTCCCTGCTGTCTGCTACTGGGCTTACATGTCTCAGAGACAGAGGGGATACAACCCCACCTACCACATATTACACACACATTTCCTCACAGAGGAAAAGGACTTGTTCTAGAAAAAGAAGCTTCTTTAGTGTCATTCAGGTAACAACACCCAGATCCATAAGAATATTCGGGGAAATTACCTTGGTCTGCGAAGAGCCACTAACAGGAGGAATGTCTGAGGAGGTTGCATATTAAAAACTCTCTAGAATCTGTGGTTACAGTAAAGAGACACATTAATAGTAGAAATCAAGGCAAAAGCACTTTGTATATCACTTTCTCCATCTCTCCCTTCTTTTAAAAAACCTTCTGCAGCTAAAATTTCCTTCTGTGATTGAAATAAGAGTTTGATCTCCAGGTATGCGCTACAGCAGACACTTTCACTTTAAAATCCTAGAAAATTTCTTGTCTTTCTGACCTACTTTCAAGCCCTTTCAGACCTAGATGCATAAAGTCATTTAAGAAAACTAAATCTCACTGAAACTGGTCCTCAGATAAAGGAGGACCAGCCTGTTTTTTCAAACACTGTTTTGGCCCTGGTATTTGGAGTATCTTCAGCATTGGTAAAATCAATGCCAGAGAGAAACGTAGACATGTTCAGCACTTGTAGAAGTATGAATATTTTCTCACTGCCTATGCAGGTGTCAAAAGTCAAATTTATGGCCATTTACAGTGGCCGTTAAATCAGTGAAAGCTGAAAGTATTGGAAAAAAATGGGAGAAGGAAAAGGCAGCACTTACTTAAAAAAATTAAAAATAATATAGTGACTCATTTTCCATCAGAAATGAAAACATATCAATGCAACGAGCACAATAATTTTAAAACAACTTTTGAGACCTCTCAGATTTAAGAAATCCGCCCCTGTCACCAAAAGAGAAGAGGTTTCTCAAGCCAAGCTTCAAATGACAAGTCCTTGAGAGGTCATTGGAGAATCCCAAAGGCCCCACAGGCTCACTCAAAACCCTGCAGGACCAACCAGGCCAGCTGGCACTCACTGAGTTCCCACACTTCCCTCCAACTCTAGGGGGATGGAAAGCTTGGAGATCACTTGAGCCAGCTAATGCCTCATGCATGAAGTCCCTGTATCTGCCAGTGGCTCCAAAAGTGCCAGTGGCTAATTCTATGCCATTATTTTGGACTTAGAAGAAACAACACAGATGATCTGCCAAGATGAAACTAAATGGATGAAAAATGCAGAAGACAAGTGATGCTTGCTGGCATTAATGCTCAGCCAGCCAATAGCTACAGAATAACTCTAATCCTCTGTATAATCCTATAGGACTCCTCTTTGAGCTGATTTTAATTCTCTGGGTAGTTTTCACATTATGATTTTTTTTTGCTGTTATTTTTAAAACCATATTTCATTCTCAAGTATCTGAGCTGAATTATCTATATTTTGGATTGAGTATACTTCTGGTACAGACACAGAAACCTACAGAACCACAGCCACATTTGGTGAGTGACTTTCCCAAGCTGGTTTGAGTCAGCACTACAGACACAGCAATAACTTTCAACAGTTTTCACTCCCTGACTTTTCAAGTCCTTGTCATCCACATCTCAACACCTCCCTGGCAGAACTCTCTGGCAGCTCACATATCTTCAAGCCACCTGCAGGCCCTAAGCTGAATTCTAGGAGATGCAACACAAAATCATGCCCACAAAATAGCAGGTTG